GAAGTCAATTAACTTACATTCCAATGTTCACCCGAACGATATTGAACAAAATTAAAAATACAAACAGCGACAGCAGCAGTCGGTGGAAGACAAAAAGGACAACATTGACCTTTTTTAAGTATAGGTTTAGAACATGGCAAATATTGATTACAGATTTGTGAAAAACATTTAATTTGTCCACTGCCATCATTTGGACAAAGGCATGATTGGCAATCATCGGTTTTCCATAATTCTCCAGCATGTTTTATCATACCATTGTCGAGTATGCAAACATCTTCATTGATATTTGATATATCAGTTATTGATAATGATTCTGATTTTTTCGGACAAATAGGACAGCAAAGAGAAGAATCATAGATGGGTGACGAACAAGGAAATGGTGGACATAATGATATACTACAAAATGCAATGTAGAGTGCTTTCACGCAGGTTCTCACACTTTATACACGGCCTCCTGTAGGCAAGATTTAATCATGCTAGTTTTGTAGCCCGTATCGAGTTGTGTAGGAAACCACATTTTGTTTTTAACAAAATCATGCGCTAAGTCATACAGGTAGGGCTCAAAATCCGATTCCGTAAACCAACAAGTTTCATTTTTTGCAAACATGATATGAAAATCTTAATTAAACCATTGGATAGAGCATAAAAAGTTATATCTATGCAATAATTTTCGCGCGTGCACATAAAAATTCCGGAGTGCTGGCGTTCCTGCAAAACTAGAAAAATGCGGCTTTTGCTGAAATCGAGCACTCTACAAAACCTACATGTGGACATAGAAACCATGATTTCTTTGAACCAAAATCAAGCTTAGCCAATACTAGTTCGAAATTGTTCGATTAAAGTTTTAGAACACATTCCTTAATTAAGATATTCTACTTTCAAAAACCAGGAATCTCTGTAAACCTCATATTGGGCCTTCATTTTCTCGAGAACTACATGCAAGAGTTTATTCAACATTTTTTTTTATAAGTAGCCCTCAGTAGTTACTACTTGCGCCTAGAATATTAGCTCTCCCATCATGGAATTACAAAAGTTATGATACCTAGAATCTCTTAAAATTCGCAGTGTTAAACTTTAAGATTTTTCAATTATGATTCTGAAACTCATCATTTCAACGGTGTATATACGATAAATTTTTGTTCTCAATCCAAATACACTTACAGTTGTAGCCCATTTATAGAAGAGATTTGTAATATATAGAGAACTAAGTAAAGAACTGGATATAAACATAGTTTCTTGAAGACTTTTGCTTCTTCTCTAGTGTTTACCTTTTATTGAATCTATCAGACAGTGAAATTTGGTAGTAGCTGTACATGTTGATCTAAATATGGAATGTCGGTGTTTATGTGGGAAAGTATTTCAGTCAATATTTAACGAAAACGTTTTGTATCTCATCGCATAGAGGCTGTACAATTGTGTGGCTGTAGCGTGCACCAAGTTTGAGATGTCAGCAAACAAACATATATCACGCTCGAATTCAGCATTGAGTTCGTATCGTCAAACAGGGAACTAAAATAAAGTTCGAAATCGAGGTGGGTGTAGTATCGGCATATGTAGTTCTTTCAAGTTAGCTTCCACACTTTGAACAATTGCTAATCATCAATCATCTTGGTATTAGACACCAATATAATCAATAACGTTATCATCATTCATTGTCAACAACAACAATTCCTTTTTCTTCAGTATAGACCATTACATATTCAAAAACACTGAAAAAACTCACGTACTGCTTGAAACATCTATGCTTACCTATGACTTTTTCCTGTTTTCTCGTTATATTAGAAATTTCTTATATTAATAAGCTGCAGCTTTGAGTGTATTTGGATTCAGAATAAAAATTTATCGTATATACATCGTTGAAATGATGATTTTCAGAATCATAATTGGAAAATCTTAAAGTTTAACACTGCGAATTTTAAGAGATTCTAGGTATCAGAACTTCTGTAATTCCATGATTGGAGAGCTAATATTCTAGGCGCAGCTAGTAACTACTGAGGGCTACTTATAAAAAAATGTTGAATAAATTCTTGCATGTAGTTCTCGAGAAAATGAAGGCCCAATATGAGGTTTACAGAGATTCCTGGGTTTTCAAAAGTAGGATATCTTAATTAAGGAATGTGTTCTAAAAATTTAATCCAACTCTTTGGAATTCGTATTGCTTAAGCTTGATTTTGGTTCAAAGAAGTCATAGTTTCTATGTCCACATGTAGGTTTTGTAGAGTACTCGATTTTAGCAAAAATCGCATTGTTCTGGTTTTTGCAAGTACGCTGGTGCTTTGGAATTATTAAGTATGCACCCGAAAATTACTTCATATGGACAACTTTATATGCTCTATCCAATGGTCTAATTAATATTTTCACATCATGTTCTCAAAAACCGAAATGGATTGGTTAAAGGCATTGGATTTCTAGAAAATCGGATTTAAGCCCTACCTGTAGGACTTAGTGCATGAGTTTGTTAAAAACAAAATGTGGTTTCCTGCACAACCAGATACGGGCTACAAAACTAGCACGATTAAATCTTGTCTGCAGAAGGTCGATGTAAATTTGGGAGGACCTGCGTGAAGCATCAGTTATAAATGTACGACCACTATCGAATGCATTGCGAATGCGTTCGTCTGTTTCGAACGCGTTGTTTATTCGTTCTTCTCGCCCTGTGGCATGGTTTAAATTTTCTCTACAAAATATGATAAAACTTGTATTGCGGCGATGCCAAAAATGTAAAGCGCCAATCCGTGAAGATCTGTTATTGTTTCACGTTTTTCACTGTGCTTTTTCGGGTAGGGATCCGTACCATTTATCTTCTTCGTATTTATGTGGCACCTCACTTATGAACAAGCCAAAAAAGTTCTATTATAACTGCCATATTGAATATGGCATCTAACAATTTTTTCAATGTATTTATCGTATGCATCATGATGTAAGTTAATATTTTAATTATTTATCATTAATTTGCTTTTATTTCGATTTACTTGTGCTATGATATGTTCAATATTTTCAGGTTCAAAAAAAACATCTATTGATGATGAAATTATTCTCGAGACTGATTCTGGTGATGTTTTAGATCATCATTTGCTATTAAATTTTCAAAATATGGTGCCTTTCTTTGTTTATAAGCTATTGATCAAGCAGGAGAAAAAAGCATGAATTATTATATTCTCCATATAATCATCGTCGAATAGTTGCAATGAAAGTTGGTATAATATTTGTTGGTTCAACTTTTGATTAGAAAATAATTTTCTTTTTCGTACATTTAAATAGAATATCAGAAGAAATTCGTTGTNATGAAATCATACAAGGAATCGTAAAGCCAGATCATCGTATCAATTCGTACTGTAAGATTTCTGTAAGATTCTTATGTCCTGATAAGATCTTATACGAATCTTACAATACGAATGGATACGATGATCTGACTTTACGATTTTTTGCATGATTTCATCTGACCTTACAAGAATACCGTCTGATTGTTTCACCTGGGTAGGTTTCAATGTCGAGAAATATGTATCATGAGAAACTAAACGTTGGCATTACTTAATACAAGTGGGGTGATATATAAAAATGTTCTCCATGCTATTTTTGAAGATATTAAACGAACATTTAATATTAATATTA